CCAGGCACGTGGGTTTGCGCGTGGGGATCCGCACAGAAGTCCCCGCTCTCACGGTGAACAGGCTCTGTGGCTCTGGTTTCCAGTCCATTGTCAGTGGATGTCAGGTGTGAGCAACATGGTAGATGATTCTCCAGGTAGAGAGGAAATGTCCCGTTTCTGTGTAACACTGCAGCTTTTTTGTTTTCTGATGATCATTGAGAGAAGTCAGTATTTGATTTTTCCAGGAAGAAAAATTCTAAAGAAGAAAGCCCTTTTTTCCAAAATCTAATTATGGCCATCATTTATTGAATGTTTTCTATATGCCAGGCATTGTGCTAAATTTGCATATGTTATTTAAATCATCCCGTGAGGCAAGAGCTATTGTTACTACCATTTACATTTCTCTTTGAAGCTGTTTGAACACTGAATAAAAACTGTGAAGAGCCAGAGAGTTGGAAAATTTGAAGAATAAGAAAATGTATCTTATTAAGAAGAAATTGGTAGAAATAATAAACTATGTTTGTTATAAAGTACAGTTAGGCAAATATGCATATTCTTCTAGTTGAAGGGACAGATTTAAAGCCAGTTCTTTTAAAAAGTATTCATTTTCTTACAAAATAAATCCAGAAACTCAGCCACATTATAGTGAATAAATTCTTTTCTTACCAGTTTGTCTCAGTAGAAGCTTATCTTAAATGTTATTGTTGTATACCATAGAGTCGGAACCGACCCATAGCTGATTGCCCATCCTTCTCCCTTGGAGCAGCTGGTGGCCTTGAACCATGTGCCTTTGGGATTGCAGTGTAGCTAACTTTTATCTTTAACCTTTATTCTCTGGGCAATAATTTTAAATGTCACAGAAAAATTAAATAGATTCACTTTTATTATCCCCAAGGCTGGCCAGGTTCTTATAGATGTCGAATCTCCTTCAAGGGAGCTCTGGTGGCCTAGTGGCAAGAAGCTAAACTGCAATCCCAAAGGCGCATGGTTTGAGGCCACCAGCTGCTCCAAGGAAGAAGGATGGGCAATCTCCTCCCCTGCAATTAACTGCCTCTGAAAACCTGCTGGAGGGTCATCTGTGGGTTGTTTCCACTTCTGTGGTACACAACAACAACAACAACAATCTTCTACTGCATCCATTAATGAGATGGATTGGCACAGTGACTGCAACAATGGACTTGAACGTGGCAGAGAATGTGACAATGAACCAGGATAGGGCAAGGTTTCCATTTGTTTATAGGGTCACTTTGAGTCTTCTTTGGCTCAGTAGCACATAACGATAGTAACAACAATCTGGCAAGATATATTTAGAATGACCGCACAGACCCCTAACCTGGAAGGGTCTATTACTCATTCACAGGTCTTTGAGTTCATTCCTTTTTGTAACCTCCCCCTTTAAAGCAGATCTTTTACAGCGACTTTGAAAGCATTTCCTTTTGAGACACTGTGAGGTGGGATGCATTCCTTATGAGAATCACCATTAGTTTGTAAAATCTCAGTATTTCATATGTGCTTTGGGTCAATGAAAAGCTTTTTTTTGTCTCTGTTTGGCTTTGTGTTTGCATTTCACTAGGACATCAGTGTTAGAGACGCAGAAGTTGTCTTGTGCGGAGGAACCGAGAGCATGAGCCAGAGCCCTTACTGTGTCCGAAATGTGCGTTTTGGAACCAAGTTTGGATTAGATCTCAAG